TTATCTGATGCGGTGGTCCCACATCGTGAACATCACCCTGATGATGTGACCTGCTTCACGTAAATAAAAAGCCTCCACCACACAGACTCTCAAAGGCTAATGATGAGTGGGAAATGACAAAACTGTTACCACATTGCTTCTAAATGAAGACCGAACACACCAATTCTCATGTCTTGCTTACGTCCATTCTGATGACTCGTGCATTTCCACTGTCAGACCACATCCTTCAACTGCAACACATAAATACCAATGTTCAAGATAATGTTGAAGAGCATTCACCGTCACATCAGAGAGAGATAAGACAAATGTTGTTCCCAATGGATTTCATGGTTTTGATCTCTTGTGTGGTCCTCCTCATTGTCCAATCATGTGAGTAAAACACTCTTTGTGATATCTACCTCACTCATGTAAGCATGCAGAATGCATAGTCATGCTTTACTTTCAATTTTACAGTGCAGCTGAGTCAGAGTGTTACAATTTATTTGGTTTACAATTTATTGATTAATTTCTATACTTTCTTCAAAATTATTGAACTGTTATTATTGAATTATTGTTCTTTAAGGTCATGGTTCTGATATTATTGGTGGGAAAGAAGTGGCTCCCCACTCGCTGCCTTTCATGGCTCTGATGCGGCCTACGTACTGTGGAGGGATCCTGATCCATCCAAAATGGGTCCTGACTGCTGCCCACTGTAAAAAGTAAGAGCATGATACAAACATTCCTACACTGTATGCACTAAAACTAATGTATAAACTATACTGGTGATAAATGTTTTATATAATATTATAATCATTTTATGATGGGGGGGGGGGCGTGTTGAGGAGGAACAGAGTGAGAGGGGACAGGGGTCGCGGAAGTTTTCCTCCTTCCTTTACAAACTTTACACAAGTATTTATCATCTGAATATAGCAAAAAGACGTTCATACTCTGCAAGCCAAGACCTCATATATTTTAATCAACCAGAAACCGGAAATAACCGTAACGCGAGTTTTTCTAAAACATAATAAATCCATGTGTTGAACTTTCCTGTCGGCTCCCAGACCGTGGTCGAGGAAACAGGGGGGATGACTCTCTGTCGTCTCCCCGGGCAGAAGCAACACGCTTCAGGTTCAATAACCCACTTTATGAAATCACTGGAGAGAGGCGAGGTCGTTGTATTTATTTAGTTCTAACGTTTCACAAGATACATCAGACCTCTGCTTTTTCCTGCTGCCTCGTTTCACCTGCAGAAAACATACACCCCGCTCGCTCACTCTCGCTCTACCATACCCACTCTCACATGCACGCGCCACACCCCTCTCTTAAAGGGGTAGCGATCTCACTCTGCATGACCCTAATGTCATAACACATGTGTGTCTGAGCCGCACCGACTGATTCTTAAAGAGCGGGTCATTCTGTCTGCTCTGGGACTGGAGCTGCTCGGGTTCTGAAGCAGACTTCAGCGTTCGGTGTCTCTGTGCCGCTGTAACTTCTGTTCCTTCAGCTCTGTGTCACTCACACACTGGTCACCACACACACCACACACACCACACACACCACACACACACACACGTACAACACACACGACACACAACCACACGACACACACACACACACACATCCTGTGAGATAGTTGGACTCCAGTCTGGACGACGAGTGAAGGTCTAAAGATGACGGCCTGGCTACTCTTGGACATCCTTCGAGATGCTGTCTTTGGAACGTTCCAAGGAGTTGTAGTTTGGCCGGGCATCCCAGTTGCACTCAGAGGACATCGAGGTCCCCTTTATCATATGGAGACTGAAATATGATATTACATAACATGAGAATTTTACTATAGGCGACATTGTGACTCCCGCCACGGGGTTTGAGTTCCAGGGCACCCGGTTTAGGCCCGGCGCTGGGCTAAGAATAATCCGGCCGCTACTCGAGCGTTCTTGATTAAGTGTGTCCAATTAATATGCCAAATGTACGCGACGAATTCGTGACGAACAGGGATTCTGATGTACAGGGTTTTACGTAAAACAAAGACGACTTTACGGCGGTGACTTCGGCTGAAGGATAGTAGGTAGCCTGAGCTGTGACTCGCNTTGAGGAGGAACAGAGTGAGAGGGGACGGGGATCGCGGAAGTTTTCCTCCTTCATTTACAAACTTACACAAGTATTTATAAGTATTTATCGTCTGAATATAGCAAAAAGACGTTCATACTCTGCAAGCAAAGACCTCATATATTTTAATCAACCAGAAACCGGATATAACCGTAACGCGAGTTTTTCTAAAACATAATAAATCCATGTGTGTCTCTGAGGCGCAGCGACACCGACTGATTCTTAAAGAGCGGGTCATTCTGTCTGTTTGTTCTGGGACTGGAGTTGCTTGTCTCGGTTTCTGAAGCAGACTTTGCTCCGTGTTTGGTGTCTCTGTGCCGCTGTAACTTCTGTTCCTTCAGCTCTGTGTCACTCACAGTCACCACTGGTCACTCACCGCCTCACAGAGTGCCGCTGCTGATAGGAAGTCGCTTCAGTGCGCATGTCACAAAACAAAATGCATTTTGGGACATGTAGTTTATGGGCAACGTGCTTAAGCAGCATGTAACCGTATAATAAACTGTTTATATTCTTTGCGAGCTCTCGAGTTTGACACCCTGCGTTAGAGGATAACAGTATCTCGTTTTCTTAAGTATTTGAACTCTGTGCAATGACAATACAGTTGAATTTAATCTAATCTAATGAAGCTACAATCCAACTTAATCTCTCTTGAATCTCTTCTTACCTGGTGGTTTGCCGTTTCGGACACTTTGACATCCAGAGAGCCAGATAGGACAGCATACCAGCTGGTGCCTATGTCCCCCTGTCGAAACACTGTGGACAGTAAAATGCGTTTAATACCATACACTGCTGATTAAGAAAATGATCTTATTTCCTAACACACAAAGTTTCTAGTGCAAAATGTAGAATATATTTTTCCAATCAACCTGCTCAATCAAAAGCAAGTAGGTGCCCACAGTAATTTTTTATTAAAACTAGTTGCAAAGATTTAATGGTGGGTGAATAACTGGTTTATTTTTTGTTAGGTTGATCAAAAAAACTACTGTAAGTAAAAAGAGTTAAATTATCTATTGAAATCGAAATAAAACAGTTTAAAGACCTTATCTTAGGCATTGGGAAATGAACATTTTATAGACAGAACAATTATTGGAAACATTGACAGATTAATCAATAGAGCAATAAAACCAGCAAATAGCTTGCATAATTGCTGGAGAGGTGTGTGTGCGCCCTTAAATCAAATGTTAAGAATAAGTCTTGTAAAACATCACAACTGTCACATACCAACTTTAACTATACATGTTGTACAATTATGCTTCACTATGCTTTTTACAGAGGATATTCTGAGCCTGACATACTAAAAACCCCATGTGCTCTATTACATTTCATAACCCAAACATTTGTGCATTGTCAGTGGTTACGTACACGTGATGCCTTTCTCCAGGCATTCATAGAAGGCCGAGGCACAGATCTGCAGTAAGAGGGGAGCTGGGAACCTATGGAAAGCTTTGACCTCTCTCAGTCTGGTCAGAATGATGTCAACATCCTCTCCCGAACGCTCCGAAGGCCTGTGTTGAAGAATAAACACCATTAGATCTAACCTAGGTTTCAAATAACCAAAGAACATTTTTTGTGATTTGGCCTATTAACTGCAAAACTATTTTGAATAAAACGTTTAACTGCATGACGTCACTTGTTAACTGTGATGGATTATCCTTCTCCCCATAGCTGCATGTGGAGAGTAAGAAATCAATCAAAAGCCTACAGTATAATGCTTTAGAAAAGCAGTTAACAGTAATGTTGAATAATTGAAATCAGCAGTTAATGGACTGAAACATAAAAAATTGGTTTGTATTGTCCTTTAAAATAAAAGGCAGCTCTATTGTTTTAGTGTTATCTCCTTATTTGTGTATGTGTGTGTGTGTTTCATTGTTTGGCCTGGTGTCTTAGTGATAAGAGTAGAGAGCTGCAGGCGTTACTTCTCCGGGCACGGACCCCCCACAGGGTGTTGATGTAAGATCTCATTGGTACTGCTGCTATTTCTAATACGCTTAAATCTGAACACACACACACACACACACACACACACACACACACACACACACACACACACACACACACACACACACACACACACACACACACACACACACACACACACACACACACACACACACACACACACACACACACACACACACACACACACACACACACACACACTGGACGTCTACACGGACACCAGAGCCCACAGAAGGTTGATCTGAGAGCTTAAACATTCTGCTCTGTGATGTGGTGGAAAGAAAACACAGCACCCAAAACGGTTCATAGTGACACACTCTGCAGTCAGCCCCATTCATTCACATGTTTTTATTTTACAAGCAACTCATCCGTGTGCGTTTCTGTGTGTGTGTGTGTGTGTGTGTGTGTGTGTGTGTGTGTGTGTGTGTGTGTGTGTGTGTGTGTGTGTGTGTGTGTGTGTGTGTGCATACAGAATAGCTAATGCTTGTAGGCTTATTCTTTCAGTCAAGAGGCTGTCTATCCCCTTTCTTACTTCAGCTGCTTCCTCTTTTATTGCTCCCAGCTTTCTCTTCTTTGTCTGCCGCCACTAAACATATCACTAATCTCAAATTTTGCTCTTCTCCTCTCTCAAGACATGCCAGTTTTTCTCTGGAACATAGTAGGCAAGACGGAAAAGAACAAATGACCCTCTTTCATCTTAAAGCAACCCATTTTCTCCTCTCCATTACTGGCACATCCTGGTTTCCCTCTATCCATTAAGCCACACCACTAACGGCACTACCATCTTCCCATTATTACCCCCTTATTTCTGCTTTAAAAGCTCACAGGCAGCTCCTCTTTCACCCACATGCACATACACAGATAAACACATATATTTGTGTTCCTGAGCAGTAGCCTGGCCGGTGCTCCCAGATAAACACAGACTGAGCCTGAAGGGCTTCACTGCACAACACAACATCTGCCAGGGGCTCAAAGCCATTACAGACAGGGCCTATTCTTTCTATCCTTTTTTTCTGACTCATCCTCCTACTGCATGCGTCCTCTGTATTGCGATAGAGCGTCATATCGCAGTGTAGGCTGGGGGTTAATGGCTTAGACAGGTGGACTCCCACACACTCCGATAGGGAGAGACAGGGAGGTTAACTCTGTGGGGGTGAATGGGTGATACCAGCATCACCCTTCACCCATCCGTCTGCAGTAAACTGTTAAGCTACATCAGTTTTAATCCCCAGGTTGAATCCTGGTCTTTTTCTCTTTGTCGTTGTCCTGTTTGCTCGCTCCCTGCCTGTCCAGAGGAATCTTCCTCCCTCGTGGGTGTGAGACGGATGTGACCTGAGAGCTTTTCACCTTCCCTCACTCTCCCCCAGCCCTCTTGTCTCTTTTCCTTGACTTCTCCCTTCCTCAGCCTCAGTTCATGTCAGCAGGGATCTCAGCTTTCGACCACAACTAATGGTTGCACGCACATATGCACACGTAGGTTTTACAAATCGACCGGCACACTGAATAGGAAACGGATAGGGACCAGAAGGTTCTGCAGAATGTTTTAGAAAACATCATTCTGTTTCCAGACAAATAAATCATAGGATGATTTGTGGCAGCCAACCAAAATGTCAGACCGCCAACACATTTCCAGAGGTAGCAGATTAACACGTTACTGTACCAGAGATGCCCTTGAATTGTATCTAAGCAGGCCCCCTCGACACCCATTCTATCACAAACTGAGATTCTGTTAAAAACACTGAATATTAAGCAGCATAAGCACAGTTCCATTAACAATTTATTATCAAAAGATTACTCATCATAATAATGCTCCAGCCTTGTCATCTTTTTTAATCAACCTCAATAATTTAGGTATGAGACAAGAGGTTTAACTTAGAAGACTTCTATTCACTTGGAAATTGCTTTTGTCTTGGACTTTTTGTTTTTCATTTCATCTGAATGTGTGCATACTGGACAATGCTCCCATTTTTCTTTCAGCAGAGGGACATTAAACCCCAGCTGTCATCTGTGTGTTGACTGGACCATGCCTGAGGCAAAACAAATCTAATCTTATGTCATATAATTCACACTCACTGCAATAAATGTCTGTGGACATATATATATAAAGACACTCGTATCTTAACCTCTGTCTTCCTTTTGGCTTCTCCCTCTCCTCGCCTCTTAGTCTTCACATCAACAGTTACTGTTGATGACACATGCACACTAATACACACTCAAGGATGGATATTGATTGAATGAGGTGGTGCATAGCTGAGGAGCACTGAGTGCTCTTCAATGAGATCTTGTCCTGTTTAATCTTACGACCCTGACTGCCCCTCACTCATACCCACCTCCTGCATTTAGCTGAAGATATAGAGTACTGTAGTGTGATTGGTGGATTTTTATGTTTCACTTAAAAAAATTACAAAATGATGTACATTGCGCATACAGGTGAGGATGAAAAGACAAGATGGTAGCTTCAGGTTGCCTATAGTAACGTGGGGATGTGTCATAGTGAGGTGTGTACAGTATGTGTGGGTGTGAGCTGTAGGGTTCATGTTTTATTTATCATTGTTTGTTTAAGATGTGGGGTGCATCATCTCCAGTAATTAGTGTATAGCTGCCCTTTCTTTGTCTTTATTTATTCAAGCCCTCTCCCTTGGATATTATGATTTCTGCACAGCATGGTACCTTTAATGTTAAGTGGGCATATATAGAATGGACTCAGATTTTCTACAGCTTCTACATTGTGAAGAACACATTATTTAGTAAATTGGCTGTTCAGTTATTCTAACCTGTCCATTCAGATCAGAGAAAAATAGTGGCTGGCATGCAGCATTGTAGCAAAATCTGAGATAAAAGAATACATAGACCTGCCTCTTAACCGTTCTTTAATACATTCACCACCGGTAGTATTTTAAAAATGCATGGCTATATGATTTAAGCAAACAGACATAAACCATGTGCGTCTAATCTTCCACTGGCCATAGTGCAGAGACATCCCAGTGTACCTCGAAGCCACCAACGCCTTTTTGACCGTGCAGATACAAGAAGAGGGATTATATTGTTATGCACTGCAGCACTGAAAGAGGAGTATATTCACTGAAAATGACAGTAACCTATTGTGGGCTAAAAACAAGGCGTATCATACCATTAATGCACACTCACACACTGCACACGCAGCGATCACCGGTTGCCATTGATCACGTTGACGCGGATGAATGAATTAAAAACACAACCATCGCTGTGTGGGGATGCACGCCGTGGAAGTGTCTCGTGGATGTGTGTCCACTAACCTTTTATCCAGACAGCCGATCCACTCCGCCGTCGGAGACGAGTTGGGGGACGTGTGCACCGCGACCATCTTCCCCGGTCGTGTGTCGGTGAGCGCTGTGATGCTACCGGAGGATGTTTCCCGGTTGTCGGTGGTCGTTGGCTGCGCCCCCTACCCGCCCCTCTGCCTCGAGCTGCCTCACAAAACTACTGGCTGCCGCTGCTGCTGCTGCCTTCATCATGGCAGTCTGCCCTTATAGGCGTTTTAAAGGGTCATCTGCAGGACTGACTGACAATAACATCACTGCAGTGCAATGCATGGCAACTTAAAAATTAAAAAATAAAGATAGAATATATGTCAGTTGGAATAGGGCAACTGTGCAACGATTGTAATAAGCTTACTATAGGACATGTAATGCTTAGAAGTTAATTGTAGGCCTACTATTAATACAGTTAGTAATCACATTTGAGGTAGCCAAACTATAATATTTAATCAAATTAAGGGATTTAACAGTGGTGCACACTAGGGTGGGGAGTGCAGGGCAAGGCATCACAAGTGCCCCCTGTCATTTAGGTCGGCTCACTCATCACCTCTCTGGTCAGTTTGTGCTGTAAATTCAGCTTAAACATCCAACAGATCAGCAAACTACAAGTGAGACAGAACATTGGAATGCAATTATAAACAGATATTTTCCGACAGAAAGTGATATTTCAACAGCGAATTTTTTAAGCAACTTGTTTGACAAATGTTCTGTTTGATGCAAATTGCAGATAAATCGGCAGTCCCATAGATCTCCTGTATGCTCATGCCATTTGTATGGCTTTTGAATCGACAGGTAAAACGTGTAAAAATCAACAGACATCGAAATGATCTCACCTTCCAAATCACTCTTCCTCACAGGATAAAATGATCGATTGTGAAGTCCAACTCCCAGTGTTGTAGCCGATATAAAACTAAAGCCTGCCAGGTCTGGCTATAAACCGGGCTAATATTGTGTGAAAACAGCATTGCACAACTCTTGGGATTCTTGAAAATGCTGTGTATTGTAAACAATGTTGCATACAAAATATTCCCCACAGTAAAAACCCAAGCAGTAAAATGCATCGCAAGATAATCTCTTTCCCTATTTAGTTTCAATAGGATGAGTCACCTTCAGAGGAATTGTGGGGTAGCAGGGAGCACAGATTTGGATGCAACAAGAGGGAGAGGAAGAGGTATAATAAATATAGAAATGTGTACTTTATGCAAATAAGGGAGAAATGGGTCAGGAAATATCAAAGTGATCTACCAAAAGCTGACAGAAGAATAAGTGGCAGACTGTGGTTACAAAATGTTGACTACTGAAGAATGACTCATCAAATTGGCTTTCAATTCCACACTGTCTGAGGAACTGATGAGCCCCTAATTTACGCGATGCTTTGTAACAATCTCATATCGGCCCAAATAATGAATGCTATTCCAGACATATGAAAAATAAAGATACAATCAAATGTCAGGATAACGTGGGTCCTATCATAATATACATACACAAATTATCCAGAATCTGACAATATAAAGAGGAGGAGCCTAATCAGAAATAAGTCATCCATATAGGGAAACTAGCATAAACAAGCTCCTTATGAATAAAAAAACACTGTATTTACAGATTGTTATGGGCCTAAATTAAGATCAGTGCAAGATGCAGCTGCTGTGTCCTTGAAGGATGCCTCATGTGAAATGGTGTACGAACAATAACAAAGCAGTGTTAGTTTCACTTGTTTGGATTCAACCCAAGTGATACGAAAGAGAGATGCAGCCTGTCGCCAGGATGAGTGCAACCACCGCAGTAAAGGGAGAGAGAGAGGGAACGGGGGATGAGGGTGAGCAGGGAGATTTTAAGCATCCAGCGTTACCTAAAACCATTACTTATGTTCCATGCATTCTCTAGCTGAAAATAAGGGGTTACAGAGAGGCGGGAGAACAGAAGATTCAAAAATAAATTCAGGGATCTGCATTTAGTGGCTGCTCTGAAGGGAATGGGAGGTCAGATACAATGAGGAGGACAAGGACTGTTTTTAACGTAAGAAAATAGTAAAGTAAGGAAGCAGAAGAGTTACTGATGTGTCTCAAACTCCTCTGACTTAAACCGCTAACATTTGTAAAGACATGTGTTGTACTGCATCAGGTGAATTCAGTGTGCAAATGTGTGCACCTGTTGCAACTGTGTGTATGTGTTTGTGTGTATGTGTTTGTGTGCGTGTGTGCGTGTGCGTATGCATGTGTTTACGGTTGCCTTACTGCATCTGTTTGAAATGGCACTTTAGCATGCATGACTGTAATACTGGAGGGTGATTGAGCAAGTTTTTACCATGATGTTGAAATGCAGTGTGCATGCATTAGTGTGTTTCCGAGCCAGCTGTCTAAGAATTCTATTTTTAAAATATGCTTGGTCAAAATTTTTGAGAAAAGTCAAGCTTAATTACTATAGCATGACAACAATTGAAGTGTACCTATTGATATTCAAAATGTGTCTTGCAGAATCCATCCACTGATCCAATCCATTTAAATGTTTTTCATTAGGGGTTTGACTGGGTTCCAAAATCACAGCACATTTTCTACCCAAGCTGTTATCTAATGCAGTAAATGCAAAATAAATGTGCATGGGCATCTGAGGATTCGGAAGGATGTAAATAATAAATCCTGAAGCCCCTCACAGTTTGACAAAGATCAGTTATAATGGGTTTGACCATGGAGAGAATTTAATCAATAACTTGGTCATTGTTAGTGCAAAACATATTAATCCACCAAGAATCGCATCATTAATGATGTTGTTTATAAATGTGCAGTTCTCTCATTTAGACACAAAGTGGCAGTAGTATTGTTTATGGGTTCATAAATGCACCACCACAATGCAACGATTGAGCTATAAAAAAGTGCAGTTTAAGGGCTATGCCACACTGATAAACTGCACCGTACAAAAGGGTGCAGAGCTGCAGAACTGCAACATAGTGCTTTGCCCATTTAAAATGCTGACTTGTGTGTTCATCCCAGAGCAAAAAGTGTGTTATTGAGTTGAGTTGAGTTGTGTGTGTGTTTGTGTGTGTGCACACGTGTCTGCATTTAAATGCTCAGAGGATGGAGTGAAATTCCCCTATGAAGCTGGGAAACTCTAAATATGGTTGACTGAACAGATAACCATATGGGGCATGACTGTCTGCCAAATCCAGGCTACATGACACACACGCACACATACAAACGTGTGCACACACACAGCTAATATCATCAGCTGTCAGACAGTATACAAGTCTAAAGAATGCAACTGTCCTCTCCACTTAATTTGACTCTTTAAATTAACAGTGTTGACGTAGGAGCAGTTAATTAAAGTAGGACTGAAATTACAATTTGTATTACAGCCACACAGATGATGGATTTTTGATACAGATATTAAGATTTGTATGTACATAAATAGGGGTCATAAACATTTTACAAGGGTCACTTGAATGAAAAAAATCATATGAAAAAGTTGTTTAATGTACCCAGTTTGAAATATAAGTGTAAAATAAATGTATTCATTTCAGGCAACATGTAAAATAAATAATTAAAAACATTTGTTTCTTGTTATCTATTATCAAACACCTGATACCAATGTGTCTGTGAGGTTCTAATAGAATTGAGATTGACAGCAAAACGTGCTTGTTTGTAATTAATTTGCATTTGCAGTAATTGAAAGGTAAAAGGAAGTTAACTCTTGCACACCCTAGTCATTCCTTTACCTGCACAATCATCATCATCATCCAGCTCAACAATATATATGACTCTCCACAAACAGAAAGGCAGTCGTGGCATTCCTGCCATGCTCACTTTTGAAAAGAAACCCTATGTGAGCCATAGGAGGAAAGAACACCAACTTGTGAAAAAGTCAAGGTGACCTGCTGCTGGTGAGGGAAATGGGATTTGAGGATTATGTCAGCACACACAGATCCCTGTATTTCTCATTTTACCCGCCATTGATTATAAATACCACTGCTGAGTTAAAAAGAGGGCATTTGCTATTATTCCTCAGAAGCTTGCAAACACCATAATTTACTCACGTATACCACTCAATTCATATGATTGCCACCCTCTTTCACATTTCCACTGCTGCTACCAATCCAGGTTACATTTCTGCCTCCAGTCTTTGTCTCTGCCTCACTCACTTTCGTGCAGCCTATAACTCTGTACATTTACTCTGCCACCCACCCTGACATCACTCCCTCATTTTCAATCTTTACTTCATTTCACTCCCCTCCCTTCCCCTCCCTCCTTTGGTTAGCCTCATTCAGAAGAAGGCTTTTGTGATTGGCCAGTATTTATATCAACTAGGTCCCAGTGCAACCTGGGACAAATGGTCTCCAGTCAGATCCAGGTCACACTGAGCAGAACCACTCTTTTGGGTCCGCACGGTTCAGTCCAGTCCAGTCCATCTGCCACACAAGCCAGATTCACAGCCAGACATAGGTACTGCACCGACCCTCCCACTGGCATCACACACACACAGGTAGGAAGTCTCTCTCTCTCACACACACACACACACACACACACACACACACACACACACACAACACACACACACACACACACACACACACACACACACACACACACACACACACACACACACACACACCAGCAGGTGCTGCATCACTGCTCTCGTTTGACTCACAGACAACCACACACAGGTAGACAGTGTGAGATCTGGCTGACTTTGCATCATGCACACAGGTGAATTTTCACACAAAGCTTACATCTGAGCCAAGGAGAACCTCTGTCAGTGTGGTAACGGTTGACACAGCAGATGGCAATGCTTGCAGGGATGCTGAAAGACAGGTACAGTAAAGGTAGGTGCAACCTGCATGTTTGATAGAAGTGTGGTATACAACTACAGTAGATAATATGCAAAGTTTATGATGCAAAATGATACTGGATATAATGGAGACACACAGTAAAATGGCAATAACAGCAGTATTTGTTATGATAGAAGGCATCACAGACATCATATTATCTTTCATTCTTAAACTTCTAAAAATAGTCATTTAACATAATGTAACAATAATTGGAGTTGCCTAAACTGTGACTAAAATGTGCAGACTTCCTGCTGTAGTTAAATGAATGTCAGGGCA